CCCCCTGGGCACGCAGCTGGACAGGTCTGCTTCTGTAGCATGAAAGGGGGCACCCCCCCAGCGCCCCCTCGAGCAGCCACATTCTCCCTTCAGATGAGCAAGGCACGTTAAGGCCGAGCTCTGGGTCTCACCCCCCGTGGCCGCGTGCAAATGGGGCAGATCCAGGAGGGGTTTCGGATTAGCTGCTCTGTGTTTCCACCTGTCTGCGCAGCCAGCCCCAAGGCTCATTTTAAACACTAAACCCTGGCGAGAGCGACATCGGACTGCCCAAGCGGGTGTCCAAGGAACCGCAGACTAATGAGATTCGGTACCGTGCTCTCGCCGCATGCCTAACACAGGCGGCCGATTGTGTGCCCAGGGAAGGGGGCTGGCCCCAGGTGCTTCAGAACAACCGCGCTGGGACCACGTGCTCCTCACAGTTCAAGCCAGGCCAGGCCCCCTGCGGGAAAAAGCCATGGATCCCAGCAGGGAGACGGCTTGTTTTCACAAGGTCACTCCCAGCGGTGGCTCTCCTCGGGCTGGGCTGAGGGGGGAACATGCCAGTCCCAGGCAAAGGGCTGACTGCAAATGGCTTTGACAAAGCCGTCAGGCGAAAGGCTGGCCCCTACAGAGCTGCCCCCGGGACGCAGCGGCTCCGGGCCCCCTCTGCCCGGGCACTGGACGACTGCAGAGCACGCCAGGGCTGAGCTCTCTGGCACCTCCCTGCACCTCCCACTCAGCCATCGGGCCGGTTCACATGCTGCGGACTTAAGACATTTGACACCAAGGGAAAAGGCCCTGGGGGTTACAGTGGATGAGAAGCTGGAGATGAGTCAACAGGGCGCCCTTGTAGCCAAGAAGGCTAATGGCATATTAGGTAGCATTAGGAGGAGCATTGCCAGCAGATCCAGAAGTGACTATTCCCCTTTATTCGGCTCTGGTGAGGCCACATCTGGAGTATTGTGTCCAGTTCTGGGCCCCCCACTACAGAAAGGATGTGGACATATTGGAGAGGGTCCAGCGGAGGGCAACCAAAATGATTAGGGGGCTGGAGCACATGACTTATGAGGAGAGGCTGAGGGAGTTGGGGCTGTTTAGTCTGCAGAAAAGCAGAGTGAGGGGGGGATTTGACAGCAGCCTTCAACTTCCTGAAGGGAGGTTCCAAAGAGGCTGGAGAGAGGCTGTTCTCAGTAGTGACAGACGCAGAACAAGGAGCAATGGGCTCAAGTTGTGGTGGGAGAGGGCCAGGTTGGATATTAGGAAAATCTATTTCCCTAGGAGGGTGGTGAAGCACTGGAACGGGTTCCCTAGGGAAGTAGTGGAGTCTCCATCCCTAGAGGTGTTTAAGTCTCGACTTGACAAAGCCCTGGCCAGGTTGATTTAGTTGGGATTGGTCCTACCTTGAGCAGGGGGCTGAACTTGACCTTCTGAGGTCTCTTCCAGCTCTATGGTTCTATGATTCTAAGTCAGCTCCCGGTTTAGCCAACGGGTAAATTTCTCTAGTCCTGTGAGGCCAGCTCGCCCCAAGGCAGCGACGCGGGGCAGTTCCGAACCCCGGCAGGCACCACGAGACACGGGAGAGGCCTGGCTAGCACGGGCGAAATGGAACCGAACTGGTGACAAAAACAGATTCACTCTGAACAGCAGGCAAGGCACTGGACACACTTCAGTCTCGTCACCTGCAAGCAGAGCTGGGAAGCGAGCGCATGAGCAGCCAGCTACCAGAGACAGACTGACAAAGGGGAGTCGTTATTTCCCCTCCGCTGCTAGCCCACCTGTCTGGGGAAAGGCACCGCTCTTGTGCAAATGGTAGGAACCCCCGGACAAGGGTGTCTCTAGGGGGCAAGATCCATTCGCCAAGTGGCAATGCTGCAATCGCTCGGCAAACACAAGCGTGAGGGACGGGGAAGCTACTTCCAGGGGATGTGGAGAGTTCGAAGTTAGTTAATGGGGCCGAGCAGGGAGCTCGCTTTTCGCACTGAAGTGAAGAACGTTCCCGTTTGCTGGGACAAGTGTAATTGTTCACGATGCTTTGCTGGGACAATTCCGACACGAGCCTTGTCAGTCACTGCCAGGGGCGTGAGGGGACCCGGCTCCATCCCGCGAGCGCCCTCGCAGCTGTCTGATGCATCGGCAGCTCTGTGCCCGCCCTGTCACTTACAATTAGCGTGGCTGATGTGGGGGTTACACAGGTCACAAGTGATCGGGGAAGGGAGACGCGAGACCAAAACTGAACAGGGACCAATGAGAGTCCATTGAGGAGACCAAAGTGAAAGCAGCCTCTGAGCTGCGGCCTGGTGTCTCCCCCAGCAGCGCCCGGCACGCAGCGGGCAGGCCCCGCGCACGTAGGGAGAAGAGACACCGAGGAGTCCAAAGGCTGCAGCCTAACACCAGAGCGGCTGCTGCCGTCTCCCCCGGGCACTGGCAGGGGGAGGTGGCAAGAGCAGGATCAAGAGCCTCGTTTTGCTGCACTGGTCCTGCCCCCCTCAGGCCCCCTCCAGCTCCTCCCTCGCGCACCAGCCTGGGCCCTGTGCCGTCCCCAGACCCGGGTGGCATCCCCAGGAGGAGGGAGGAGGCAGACCCAGCACAGTCCAGCAGCAAGTGCCGGGGCCATGGGCCTGCTGGTGCATGTGGCGGGGCAGGGCAGGGCACCCTCCTTCCGTCCGTCCTCAGGTCATTTGCAGGGCAGCGTCCCGAACGCCGCTCTCACCGCTCCTCCGAGTGATTTCTCACTGGCTGCACGAAGAGTAACCAGCCGCGTCCCCCACAACCCTGCCCTGTCTACCTGGGGTCCTCGACCTCCCTCTGGAGGCTGCTGGGGTTGGACTCTCAATCCGGTTCCATGGAGCTGATCCCCGCGGCGAAGGAGGCCCCTGAGCGGCATGCGAGGGGGAGGGTCCCAGCTCCAAGTCCCCCCTGCAGAGGAGCGGAAAAGCGCCAGAGCCTGGCCGGGCGCAGCGCAGGAGGCGAGCGCGATACTTACGCTGCACCCAGTTGCCAGTGACCGGGCTGAGGAAGTTCGGGTACAGGCCCTGCGGCTTCTCAAGTCGGTTCAGGACTTTGCGGATGTTCATCACCTAGAAAGAGCAAACCCGCAAGTCACTGGCAAGTTTTCCCTGCAGAGGAGCGGAAAAGCGCCAGAGCCTGGCCGGGCGCAGCGCAGGAGGCGAGCGCGATACTTACGCTGCACCCAGTTGCCAGTGACCGGGCTGAGGAAGTTCGGGTACAGGCCCTGCGGCTTCTCAAGTCGGTTCAGGACTTTGCGGATGTTCATCACCTAGAAAGAGCAAACCCGCAAGTCACTGGCAAGTCTTCTCGGACCAGACCGATTGCTCTGCCTGGGAAGAAGTCGGCCACGAGCGTCCCCCCATCGTCGGGCTGGCAGCAACCCGGGGCGCTGCAACTCTACGCTGGGGAGTTGGTTCGAAATCACGAGGCGAGCGACCACTCTCCCAGCTGCTATTTCGAAACGACTCCTGCTTGCGAAGAGGAGTGAGCTCATCTTGAAATCGCTCCTTGGGGAGTCTGTTCGCAATAACCGGGCCGTGCAGCCCCAGCCCCATCGTCCTGTCACCTGCGCTCGGGGCAGGACCACGTAGCATCTCCCACCCGACAGGCATTCGCCCGTCCCGTGCCCCCGGCCCCGAAGCGGCAAGCACACATTTCGAAACGACTCCTGCTTGCGAAGAGGAGTGAGCTCATCTTGAAATCGCTCCTTGGGGAGTCTGTTCGCAATAACCGGGCCGTGCAGCCCCAGCCCCATCGTCCTGTCACCTGCGCTCGGGGCAGGACCACGTAGCATCTCCCACCCGACAGGCATTCGCCCGTCCCGTGCCCCCGGCCCCGAAGCGGCAAGCACACGGGGTGGCAGCCGGGGACAGGCTGGTCTCGTCCCCGCGCCGGGGCTCTGGGTGTGATGCATCCATCACGCTCCCGGGGAGGTTGGGATTCTAATTGGAGCCATTTGTCTCCCTCAGAGCAGGCTCCTCGGGGAGCACCTGGCAACGCTAACGAGGGGGGATCCAGCGGGACAGGAAGCTGCTCCCACGGGCTCTGGAAGATGAACTGACCCCCCCCCCCGGCAATTTGAAATGGAGACGTTACAAAGGGAATCGAAGCGGCGGCGGCAGCCAGCCCCTCCCCACACAAGGGAATTCTGCGCCAGCCCCGATGGCCGGAGCATTCCCGCTCCCGTCGGTTCAGAGCCGCGTTCTCCGCGGGTGCAAGGCAGGAACATGAACACGCCCAAGTTATTAGCCACCAGCGGGCGGGACCCCCCAGCCAGCCAAGAGCCGGTGCCTCTGGATCTGGCGCTAGCTTCTCGCCTCAACGTAGTAAGGCCGGAGCACAGAAGTGCCTCGGGCCCCTGCCGGTCCCCCCACTGCGGGGAGCAGGATGGGGAGGCGCCAAAGCAAACAGACAAAATAACCGTAGGCGTCCCCCACCCCGCGTGGGACAGAGCCTCAGGCAGACGAGGGCGAGGCCACGGCGCAGGCGAGACGAGTCCAAACACCATCCGGGCTCCAGCCCCCGTCACAGGAGGAGCCGTTGGGCTCGCCGGCCAGCTGCACACGCGAGTCGTTTAGGAAATTTGGCATTTGCAGCACAGGGACCCCGGCTCCCTCCCTCTGCCGGGCCCCGTGAGCAACCTCCCCGGCCCGCCCAGAGCCCAGGCCTGCGGCCACATGCGCTCTGCCTGTCACCGAAGGAGAGGCGGGGGCGCCCGGCGCGGGGAAGGGGGAGGAGCATCCAGTGAAGGGGGCCCCCAGCCCAGGGATGAACAGGGACAATTCCCCTCTGCCCCTGCCCTGCCTCTCCCCGACCTGAGGCGGCCAAGGTGAAGGGGGGGAGGGGCATTGCTAGCAGGGGTTCCCTCCCGCGCTCACAAGCGGAGGTGGGAGAAGTGCAGCAACGTGGCCCCAGCTCCCCGGCAGCCAGCCTGGGGCCCTCCTGCCCCTCCCCCGAGTGATGGGGCTGGAGGAGGGGGCGAACTGGGGCCGTGTTGCTTCGCTTCCCCTGCTATGGGCACCAGCCCCCCCCCCGCCAGTCCCCTCTGGCTGCTGACAGGCACCAGGGCTCATGTGCCCCCAGTGGCCTCCTCTCGTGGCCCCAGGGAAAGGGCTGTGGAGCAAGCTCTGGGCAGCTGCACCCAGCTCTGTGCCAGAAGCCCAGGGGCCAGGGTGATGGGCACGTAGGAATCGCTAGAACTTGCCTTTTCAGTGAACACTGGGTTTCCAGAGAGCTCCGTGAGGTGCAGGAACTCGAGGTGCAGGGTGCCAAATTCTGCCAAGATGCTGCTTCCTGCGGAGGCCCAGCCCCAGCTCCAGCTCATGCCACTGGGAGGACAAAACAGGGAGCTGCGTCACCACGCGAACCCGCCAGGCTCTCCCCCAGCCGGCAGCGAAGCGCCACAGAGCCTGCGATTGCCCTGGCGCGGGGGCGGGGCTCTGCCTTCCGCCAAGTGGCCCCGGGGACCTGGCGTTCAACGCCCCACGCGGCCCCACAGCGCACTCAGCTCTGCAGGGACGCGTCGGAGCAATCCCCAAGAACCACGACCCCGACGCAGAGAGGGGTCTGCACCAGCCCGCGACGCGAACCCACCCGAGGGCCCCCGGCAACGTGGACTCTGAGCCACGTTTCCCAGCTGGCTCCCCTCTGCCACGGGCTCATCCAGAGCCTGGACTCTGCGCTGACAGCCTGCTTGGCTGCGCCACTCTCGCTCTCCAACAGGAACTCAGGCCCGGGCCCCACGGGGCCCCACCCCCTGGCCAACACTGCCAGACATGGCATGTACGAAACAGCCCAGGATCTAAGTGCCTGACACCCTCCCTTCCCGGTCCACCTCCGGCAGGCCACAGGCGCCTACAGCCGTGGTGCACAACCCGTGGGTGGTGACCCCCAAAGGGGTCACGGATGTCTTCCTGGGGGGCCACCAATGGCCAGGCCCAGCCCCTGGCCAACAGGATCTAAGCGCCGCCCTGCTCAAATTATCCTGGGGGTCGCGGCTGAAAAGGTCGCGCCCCACTGTCCGGCGCGGCACAAGGGAGATTGTTGTCACTCGGACCGTCGCTTGTTTGGATCTACTGCCCCAGCCCCTCTGCGCCCCCCTCTCCCGTTCCGCCAGCCCCGCGCCGAGGGGCAGCTCCCGGCCCGCTGGCCCACCGCCGCAGACACGGAAGCGCCCTCTCCCTGAGGGGCCGGGTCTCACGCGCCTCTGCAGTGCTGGCCATGGGAGGCTGAGCAGCCCTCTCTGGGGAGGTTACATAGCGATTCATCAGCTCATCGAGTAGTCGATGGAATTTCGATAGTCGGTAAGAGGGCCGCTCGCTATCTCACTGCGCCGCTCCCTTTGAAATGTACGGGAGTCGCCCGCCTCCCCTTCCCCCCACGGACAGTGCTGGGGGGGAACCGGCTTTTAAGGTGCCTCCCCGGCACCAGCTCCTGCTCCCCCACTCGGGGCCTGACAGAGGCAGTGCGGGGAGGGGGAGGGGGAGCGACGAGCCGAGCTG